AATACGCCTATGATTGATCAAGGTCTATTCTAGGCTTCGCCCGTAATTAACATCCAACTTTTCACGGCAGCCAGAAAGAACATGCAACGCAAAAGGTAGCCAGAGTAAAAGGGCCGGGAAAAAAAGAAAGGAAAGGGGCAACAAACAAAATTGAGGACAGTTGATGGCAAAAAAAAAAGTACAAATTTTGCCTTATGCGCATGCTTGGAACTGAAATATTGCGCAATTTTGTACCTAATCCTCGAAATAATCCCTCCTTTTGGTAAAAAAAAGCTTTCTTAGCAAAACGTAGGCTTATTTAGCGCCATGGCAGCCAAAAAACCTGACTAAACGGTTAAAAACGGTATTTTTTGGCGAAAGTCTGGTATTCAAAGGGTTAACAGGCTCTCTTGAAAGATAAAACAACGGAAAGAAAACCTCTCAGAAGAGAGTGGACTGAAGAAGCTTTGAAGCATCAGTCATAGCTCTTGGTTTTATTTTATGAGGACATCAACGTAAACCGAAGAAAATTAGCTCCATATTTAGAGGTTTCGCTATTATAGATTTGACGGATGCGTTGTTTTGCTACTGCGGGTTAACGCGGTTTTAAAGATAAAATCCGCCGGCTTAACTTTGGTAACGGATATACCAAGCTTTCCGTGAGGCACGATTGATTTTTTGTTTCTTTGAATTCGGAAAAATAGGAGTAAAATTTAAGAAGGCCAGGGGAAACTCTCTCTGACTGACACTCAACTATGCACGCGAAGAAGAAAACTGCCAAATTCAGTTATCGATTTGCACCTTTTAATTTCGTTAATGAAAATTTGATCTAGCAGGCTAACAGATTTTGGGGGATTTTGACCACTCTTTAAACTTAAATGCTTTAATGCGTATTGAACCCCAGGGATTTGGTACTTTAAACTGAAAGATCGTCAAGGATCATAAAACTACAATATATATTGCGTGCCTAACTTCAGGTAGGTCTTAAGGTTTTACGAGATATCAAGCTTGTCGGACATGCTATCAGCATACGGTAGGTTTGTATGTATAGATAGGTCTTAAATCACAGACGTCTTTGAACCGTTTTCACCAAGAGCAAATCTCCGCAACGTAGTTACTCAGTAAAAATGTTCAAACGGTGCATCCGTTTCGGAATTTATTTGCAAAACAGCTCTGTGTTTTCTATGATATCAGTTAACTATGAGACACATAGAGAGTACAATTGTATTCGGCCGACCCTCAATGCTATGAAAGAAGAATGTGTGGTGAGACAACAAAACTTGCATGCAGTTCCCTAATCCCAGATTTAAAAGTATCCGAGTGGATTTTGTTTATTTTACCGGAACTCTGTCACACTTTTTTTTAATGGAATTCTCTTGCTCACGAACCTGTCTCAAAATCAACTGTCATGATTATTTACAGAGTGGAAAGACACACCATAAATGTGTACTGAAAACATTGCAGACCTCAACTGCTTGGCGGTTTGTCATCTTTGCCTTAATCATGACCTTACTCCTCAGTCTATGTGACGGAAAAAAGACTCAACCGCACCCCAGTGATGCCCATTCATTTCCTATGGGACTAACTGGTAAAATTTGTTTAAAACAAGACAATTTCTCTTTGATGACCTTCTTAAATGCTGTTGATCGTTATTATGTGTATGTGCTGGTATTTCATTACTAAATTGTTAGGAACCTTAATGCTGATCGGGATTTAAAGGTTACAAGTTATCGGAAGTAAATTCTTATTTTCTCTGACGTCAACTAAGATCACCTACAGACAAAATTCTGGTAATTTACATTATCCTGCTTGAGCGAAAAACAAATGATGAAAACTGATGAAAACAATAGGGATTTGGCTTTCTTTGAGTGCCCTACTCGGAAAACTTCTTTTCGCGCAATGATCTTGTTTGCGTGAGTCGGTCGTATTTTCTCACGGCATCATAAGTGAAAGAAAGATTTGCTTGCTTTTTCTGCTTATAAGTCATCGGAGGTCATTTTGTCTTAGAGGACACACGTAGTGGAGAGTTGTTGAACTAACCCTAAACGTCGCATATCTCAACTGTACGTAAGGACTTGCCGCCACTGTTTGAGTTCTTCAACATCATCACATTGCAATCATCATGGGATCGCGGTTACTCCATGTCTGTTCCTTGTGGAACCCTTGCAAGGGAAAACATTTCTGAACCTTATTAAAGCGGATCACGGAGCCTTGCCGGCACTTTCCGGATACTGTTTTTATTCGGAAATATCAAATGGAATGACCTGCGTCCTGAAGCAAAATAAAAAATCACTAGTTATCATGTACCGATCCAATAAAAAGAAAATGGAATTTTTATTGCTATCTGTTAAATGGCTTTCAATTGGCTCCATTCAATGAGCATTCATTTGATTCCTAACAAAGGAATCGTCAGTGGAGGAATTGATCACTCAATAATGTTCACGTCTTTCATATCAGCTGTCGTCTTTCAAATTAAACTCCACTATTATATTAAGACACGAAGCTGTGTGATCAACTCTTATTCAGTGCATGCCTGACTGTTTGGATAATCAGGTTTCCCATTTGCGCTTAAGCTCACTGATAGCATTTATTCCCTGAAAGCCAGTTGCGGTTACTGCCAAAGTTTTGGCAAATCAAGTTTATAAAGTCTATTTTTTCAGCTGAACATACTTAACAAATTGGCGGCATAGAAGTTGGAGTTCGAATTATGGGCGCCGCACGCAACAGTTTTTGTAGTTTTGTTTGGCCGTTTTTTTTTTTTTTTCCC